GTACTTAACTAATTATTTTAATTTGATCGTTTGGAATGATATCGATGGATCCTAAAATTTCTTGGCCGAGACTCAAAACCATGCACACACAAAATAACAATGAAAAGAAAAAAAAATGTGTAATGAAGATATATATCCTACATGTATGCTTGTGAAACATCTACACCAAATACTTATTGTATATGTATCAAACAAATACATGCTTTAGATATGCACTGTAATGCCTTACAAGGCTACCCATCGAGCAGGTATGATAAATGTTTTACAGTACATGTATTTCAAAAATTAATGTATATGTAAAATCGAGTGTTAAAAGAACTTCACGTAGTTTGTCCTCTAAGACCAAAACCCTACCAAAACTGTATCTTTTCCTTGTATGATGAAATGTTTCAGAAATAAATCTTTTGTCTACTTAGTCCGACTACTAGCCCTTAAAAAATTTTCTGTTGAGGCCGTGTCATACAAGCTTTAATTAGTCCGACCACTAGCCCTTAAAAAATCTTCTGTTGAGCGCGTGTCATACAAAAACTTTAATTAGGTTTCAACATGAGAAACAAATCTTACATACCGATATCGTTGGTTGTGACATGTGTGAGACATATCTGAAGGTAGACAATTGTTACTGGTAGCCTTCTATTATCTAAACATGCTATAGACAGAAGACATAAAGGACTGCTCATCCGTCGTATCTTGTTATATGGTATTTGTGTTATTTTTTTCTGTCATGAAGTATATATATCGATTATCGTTATTGTCCAGTTGAAATAAATGTGGTCATTTGAAACAATCGGACTTTAATCCCGGATTTTCAGAATGTCCAAAATGATGACTGTAAACAAAATGTAACCTGTTCAATCATACAGACACTCGTGTAAAATTGATCAAAAGATGTACTGTCTTGAAACATAGTACATCTTCATTTCAGCAAACATTCAATGCCCTGCTTGTTCTCATTACAATTTATCAATTTAAACCATGTTTGGCTGGTTATTAAACTTAGATTAAAACGTATAGACGAAAAGAGGTACCATTATGGGATAGCTATCATTTCCATGGCTAATATTAAGTTTCGTTTCAGTGCAACGCATACCATTCTTTCACTTGTACCTCTCGGGATTGAAAATACAACGGTTTAAAGTTAAATTAGAGACCTACATGGAGAGTGTTTCATACATCTGGTTATATTTGTATTGTATTTTATGTGTCTCGCTAGGCTCGCCAGCAAACTTGTAAGTGATCACCATCATATTTGCCGGTCTGCTTAATTTGTTGCTGGTGTATGTAAACAAAATATAGAAGTGATATATTACACTGATCTGCGGTCGAGCACCCTATTTTGCGATTTGTTTGACAGCTTTAAACACCTTTACAATGCACTCTACGTTTCCCTTTAAAGTGGTACCATGTGATGTAATTGCCTGCAACGCAGCTTCATATAATTTGCTTCCTATTTTGTTTTTTTTTTTTTTGTTTTGAGAGATTATACTTGATACGTTATATGTTAGCGTCACTGACGATTTCTAGTTTGACAAAACAGATCCTTTTAGTATGGACGTACTAATAACATATATATATATATATTATATATATGAAAAGTATATTTCAAAGCTAACGTGACTGTAAACAAGGAACTAACAATTCTTAATGATGTAAAAGAAGGGTGTATGTGTGAACTGTATACAATGTAAAATACGGTCTAAGTGACTCAGCTGACAGGATGAGCTTCTTTGGTTCAGTTGGTAGTGTCATGAAGTTGGAGTCTCGGATTCGATTCATATCGAGGCGCTCGGGAGAAATGTTTTCGGTGTTCTGTTACAGTTACTTGGTTTAAATTAACTCGTTTCGAAGTTGATGTTCGACACTTTATAAGGATATTCTGTGATTCACGATATCATGGTTGGATCGGAGACTATATAATCCGTGTATTTCCCAGCACAATTCAGACTTCAATTATCCCTATAGACATTTGTACTCCCGAAGTGAATTATCTATAATATGTAACTATTTAAGCCATCGACGTAAAAAGATAATAGTTAAAATGAAGCACTAAGTTTAAAGCAACTCTGTGTTTCAGAATCCAGACTGGTAATGACTAAAATTCTATACGTTTTTACACTGAAAATATTACTTACATAGTATGAAGATAGAACACAAACGACTACTGACAGATACTGCGTGGGTTATGATAGGGAAAAGAACAAACCATTAGAATTAGATAGAATCAAATTAAGAAGTAAACTGCACCATCCCTCCGGGACTCGCCATTGATGCAAAATGTCAAAAAATCTAAATGGGGAGGTTTGCTAGCTCAGTAGTTCCATTATTCTGATAATTTTCATAAATCGAGTAATTTTAAAAGTGCACCAAGTAAATATGTTTAGATAATACTAATTAGTTTCACCCATTTTAGCAAGAAATAAACAATATAATTTATCAGCTTACAATAATATACATTATTGATAGATTTTAACAGCATTTTATTCTCTAAAGTGAACTTAACAAACACCCTATTTGTAATGATTAGGAATATCAACGAACATTCGTATATTCGTTCGGTAGAGCAGTATTCGAATAAGAAAATGGCATTCGAATATTCGTTTTCAGAATTGTAACAAATCACGGTGTGGAAGATCGCTAAAATCAATCTGTTCACCGTGGACGAATGATCTTATTTTTATTCGGGATAAAACTATATAAGCTAAATCTTCAAGGTATCATTAGTTTCCAAAGTTGGACACCTGTGTAATGTATCATGACACTAATTAGCCTATAGCCGGTGGCCCTGATGTCACCCTATCACACCTCGAAATATTTACGTTGAAGGTATCGTTGAGGACTTTTTCCGGAACAGCTTATCGTTTTATGGGATTTGAGTTTCGATAATGATAATGTATTTTCTTGTTTTGATGAAGTGACAGGCATAATACCTGAACAGAGGAGAATAACTCTCCAAATGCTTCATATTTCTTGCCCAAGTTTTATGGGATTTGAGTTTCGATAATGATAATGTATTTTCTTGTTTTGATGAAGTGACAGGCATAATACCTGAACAGAGGAGAATAACTCTCCAAATGCTTCATATTTCTTTCCTTTGCTTTGTTTTTATGGATATTTGTGAGTTTAGGAATCCAACATAAACGGGAGAGGCCCGTATCCTTATGATTAATATGCAATATAAATGATTGTAATAACGAATCAAATTTAGTCAGTATTTGGTCATTGGAAAGATGACAAAATGTATAGGTGGGGTTTCTTTCTCTATAAAGCATAATTATTTTTTGTTACAGGAAATGCAATAATGTTTGCAGACAAGGATGATCGTAACATCAGGACCGAAGAAACGTTTAGAATGATGAACAGAATGGACTTAACGCAACATGTTCTCCTTTCACTCATTGTGGCATAGTTTTCAACAGGGTCAATAAATATCTTGAACTTCCTATTCCAATAAACGGATAGAATCTCACAAAATTTAGGACACCTCATTATGTGGCATAGTTTTCAACAGGGTCAATAAATATCATGAAAATCCTATTCCAATAAACGGATAGAATCTTTAGGACACCACATTATGTGGCATAGTTTTCAACAGGGTCAATAAATATCATGAAAATCCTATTCCCATTAACGGATGGAATCACACGAAATTTATGACACCACATTATGTGGCATAGTTTTCAACAGGGTCAATAAATATCTTGAACTTCCTATTCCAATAAACGGATAGAATCTCACAAAATTTAGGACACCACATTATGTGGCATAGTTTTCAACAGGGTCAATAAATATCATGAAAATCCTATTCCAATAAACGGATAGAATATCACAAAATTTAGGACACCACATTATGTGGCATAGTTTTCAACAGGGTCAATAAATATCATGAAAATCCTATTCCCATTAACGGATAGAATATCACAAAATTTAGGACACCACATTATGTGGCATAGTTTTCAACAGGGTCAATAAATATCATGAAAATCCTATTCCCATTAACGGATGGAATCACACGAAATTTATGACACCACATTAAAAGTTATCGTGGCTGAACAGTTTGATAATGCTTAAATCACCAGTTACTATGTGCCCAGTTGGACCATAGTTATAGGTAGATGTAGAACAAGAACAAGCTGACGGAGGACTACTTCTTAGGTCTTAGGTAATTTACATAAAGACGATGCAGCGTTTGTTTGAAGTTAAAAAGTTTGGATGCAATGGGTTTGGAGTAACTAACTGTAGGAGATTACAGGGGTATTTCTGCTTTAAAAGTATGGTAAAATGTTAGCGTGGACAGATTTCTGGTGTAAAATATTGCTGATGTTTATAGCATTCACTCCTTTATTTACAAACTCAGCATTCATAAATTAGTGAGTTATTGGAGGATTGCGGCTATCTGTACGGACAGGAAAAAAAAGCCTTAACATTGATAACTTCATGTTATAGAAACGAATAATCAGAGAATAAGGTCATATGTTTTTGAAGGGTTTCCTTGACGATATCCGTCATGCAAATATTGGTCGATTCATGTAAGCAATGTTAGTTTCCAAATGATGAGGATAGGGTGTACAGCAATGGAACTACCAGGCATACATGCGAACATCAATCAAGTCTGTACATCTTGCTCATATTGCATGCGGCCAAAGTCGTGATCTTATCTTTTCTTTTCTTTGTGAAAGCAATCTTCCAGTCTCTCTTCAGACTGTCTCACTTTTGGCCTATACTTAAATGTTTGCTACTGTGCTATAGTTATATAATTTGAAAGTATTCAAAGATGTTTCCTCTTGTGCATTTTATGTACAATACATCGGGTTATAAGTCATTTTGACGTTTTTGATATATAATTCAATCTAATGAAAACTGGATGTTGGTTCGTCATAAACAATCTTTCGATCACGATAGCGTATTGAGGTCATATGACGTCATAAAATATCTACAAACTGATAAAAACGCGTATGTCACTCACTCAAGTTCGTGACGAAAACGATAACGTTCCTTTCAGAATGGTGGATAGAATGCTGGTCGCGGCTTTGGTCATCTTCTGCGTGGTTTTCGTTTATGGGAGTCCAACAACCCCTCCCGTTCTTAAAGCTAGATGTTTAGTAAACGGCACGTACTATAACGCAGGGGAAAGTTTCCAAAAATCTCCGTGTTCCCCCTGCTTCTGTGGAAATAATGGCCAACCAATTTGTGCTATAACAGACTGTTTCTTTACGCCTTGTGTAAATCCAGTCACAGACCCTACGAAGTGCTGTCCAACGTGCCCAGATGGTAAGTCATATTTACTGCAGATGGTATGTCTAAATGGTAAATTTGTACAATAGATGGTCCATATGGTAAATTTGTACAATAGATGGTCCAAATGGGAAATTTGTACAATAGATGGTCTGAATGGGAAGTTTGTACAATAGATGGTCCAAATGGTAATTGGATGGAGAATCATATGGTGAATTTGTACAATAGATGGTCCAAACGGAAAATTTGTACAATAGATGGTCCAGATGGGAAATTTGTACAGTAGATGGTCTAAATGGGAAATTTGTACAATAGATGGTCCGAATGGGAAATATGTATATGTCCAAATGGGAAATTTGTACAATAGATGGTCTAAATGGAAATCTTGTACAATAGATGGTATATATGTACTAAAGATATAAACAGTTACTGCATAATCGTATATGTGAACTAAATGTGATTAACCTTGTTTACACATATATTTCTGTTCTTAACAGATAATGCGTCACATAAAATCAAAGGATTTATTTGAAAAACCATTGTTTTCGCCGCCAGTTCATTCATACAACACATTACTTACTAAAAACCAATAAAAAAATCATATATTTTAAAAATATATCAACCATTAAGCGCTTTGAAACCTGTATTTGATATTGAATTTCAAAATGAAAGGCAATGTTATGGAATTAATATGAAGACTGGAGCAGCCTTAACCGACCTCTAGTTTTAAAACATCTTTAAATACAAACCTCAGAATATATATAACATATTCCAAATGATAATTATCTACTTTTGTTACAACATGATAGAATTATTACTGAATTCCATATACTCAGTCATTTACTTGTAAGCGCAATTCGGGTAGTTATATAAAAATAGGAGTAAAAGATGAGTGGTTCGGGGTGGTTGCCTAAATAAATTATAAAATTAACGAGTGATGGTGTACATACACCAAATCAAAATTAGTTTTGTAAGGTTTTTAAATATTTAAAATTATCTATCATTATTGTAACTTTTCCCATCGATTTAGGACCTAACTGCCGTGCAGGAAATGAGACTATTTCCGCCGGAAAAGACCACGTCATCGGCAACAGTATTTGTAGATGTACACACGGTCATCGCGGGGATAGTGTGGCTCTCTGTCGTCCTAACGGATGTACTCATAATGGAAAGCAGTACCCGGCTGGACCCTTCCAACCGTCTGCCTGTGAACATTGTCAATGTGACGCAGCTTCTGGGCGCGTAAGCTGTGCAATCGCAGATTGTTTTTTCAGCCCATGTGTTGACGCTGTGCACAAACCTGACGTATGCTGCCCTGTGTGTCCTAATGGTGAGTGACATTGGAATTCTAATCGATACATATTTTTGTGAGCTTCCTAGTATCATCTTCTCTGTTGAAAACAATACTCTCGAATTTAACTTTTCATAATTTTTTTCACTAAAGTCAATCGATTAAGCATCAAACATGCCTCCAACCAAGAAGTCACGCTATTTGAACTGGTCCCTTACTATAGATTATGGACAACGTTGATACCACATAGTTTAACTCCTAATTAACTCCAACACACAACAAAGTCAGTAACATGAAAGGCAAAACACCTCCAGTCGACAATGCAATGTTGTCTGATTTGAAGAGAAACTAAACAAAATTGCTTCATTTTTTCAGGTCCTAATTGTTTTGTTGGAAACAAAAAGATCCCAGCTGGCCAAGACTATATCGACGGTAATAAGATATGTCGTTGTCCTGACGATTTTCACTTCTCTGGGCCAAGTGGTCGACAGGCTGTCTGTCTTTATCACGCAACTACCGTTGTCCCAGTACAAACACCAGTGAACTGAATGTCTCCAGTAAAGTGGAGTAGTCAATATGTTATATAACTTTTTCTTTAAGTTTGCTATATTCTCTTTTTACTTTTTTGTTTGTCAGTGGACAACTTGATAATAGTTTGAAGATAAAGGAAGGATAATTTATCTGAAGCAATTCAGTATCGTATTGGTCACAACAGGTATTATATTCTGTGGTGTTATATCGTGTCATTACGAGTCGCGCTACAACAGAACACACAACCAAACGTTTCAGTCCATGAGTTTCAAAACAACATTTTCAGCAACATCTGACATATGCTCGAATATGTTATAGGTCATCTACAACTTTACGGTACGCCACCAGTCTGGTTTAAGACAAAAATGGTCATTTTCAAAGCTGATACCCGTTATTTGAGGCCTTCAAAGGTTCTACATCTAAACTCCCCCTGCAGGCCATTTCTTTTTTTACTGTTTTCGAAGAGCTTCTGTAGAGTTGATTCGTTTCAACTAGACGACAGCACAGACTTTCCGAGTATCATACGAGTACACATCAATATTTCGATATTTTAGCAAGAAAATTTTGTAGATAACAGATGGATTTCATGTCCTTTTTTTACAGTTTCTAATAGTAAATAATAGTTTTAATTTATTCATGATCGAATTAGACAAATGTGATAATTGATATAAAGATCAGTAGGATAAGTTCCTTATTTTCTCCAACTCGATTTTATGGTATGACAACTACATAGGTTGCCGCTCTCGATGACTCGAAACCATTTGTAATGTTAAGCTCCACTTTTTAGACGTTCAGTAGTGAATATTTTTTAATGTGATATTTCTCCATATTTTACAATCTAAAATGCAGTAAATGATTTCAATTGATAATTCAATAAACAAATACTAGATTATTAAATTTCACAATGAATAGATATTGCTTATTCGCTGCATACATAACAACTGCCATAAAGGAAAATATGGGTAATGAATTACTTGCTACCACAGTCCACTGCACATCTAAACCCCCTATCGTAAATAATCACGATTTTATGACAATAAAAGGAACTGTGCTTATTGGACCGTAGTAACAAATTGCTACCTGTAGGAAAAGGGACATAATAATTTAGTTAATAATTATTAAGTCGATAGTACAGATTTAATGATCCATTATAATTATACTTTATAAACACGAGCATTCATCGAGGTATCTATTATATTCTGAAGAACAGATAAATACAAGTTCGTCAAAATAAAATTTAAACAGTTTGGCGAAACCAGTATTAAATAATGAATCAACAAAGATCAAAATATCAAAGAAAGCAAATAAATTTTTAAAATAGACATTTAGTTTAGAGCAAGTAAGTAAATTTTTTACCTGTCGTAATGTGTGTATGTTAGGTCGAGAGTCTCAAAGTGGAATGCTGAATCTCGCGCCAAAATTACCGAAAAAACAATAAGAACTAAAAAATGACCATTGGTTAACCGAAGAGCTGCCAACGGGAACGATTTATAAACTGACCAATAAAAAAATAGAAATTATAAACCAAACCAAATAACGACATAAAAATGGAAACACACGTAATACAATAGAAAATTAACGTTATAATATATACATGATCCGGAATTTCAAAACATAAAATAGACAAATATAATCTCTGCTACAGTAGCAATGTCATTGAAAATCCTGAATTTTTCAGATATTTGGCAGCATAACATGAAACATTGTCGGGTCATAATGTAAGGCGTGTTGTCTCTAGGAGCGACAATTTTTATTTCCTTCATTTAAAAAAACGATACATTCAAATCAACCGTCCTAGAAAGATGCAAATATATTTACAAACATATTTAAATTACTTAAGAAATGAAAAAGTTCCTTGTATGAAAATGGTTTTCAGCATCTTACATCTTAAAACTATTTCGCCCAAAAGGTACAATGTACTGCTGGTTTTCCTCCACTTTCTCCTCCTTTTCGCCCCTCCTTATCAGATTTCTCCATAATAAATAATATTTTAATCCTTCACTTACACTGGTGCAAGAGCTATTCAGTTAACCATGTTTTATATTTTCTAATGTTCTTGATCTCCTAGGAGTATTTTGTGTTGTAATATCAGTAATATCAACAAAATAGTTTTCTGCCAAAATTCCACGAATCACCTTCATAGGCAATTAAGTCCTCTTACCATTTCAATACATAATTTCTGATGACTCATACAAGTACAGGTAAATTAAACAAAACACAGGGAAGCGTTAAGCGTATAGGACATGCAAATGTGATTTACTTTCTTCTATCTTTCTTTTTGTTCAAGTTGAGAAGTATACAGTAAGTTCACGGATGAATTCGCCTGTGTGAAATAAATAATTTGTTATTTGTTATGCAAGTCATTGATCCAAGCTTTTAGTGTGTCGCCCAAATTATAAAACTCATTTTTAATTTTCTAAGATTGTATTGCATTCAGCTGAATTTAATATATCTATCATGCTGTGAACTCATCTCGGTGTTTAATTTACCTGTACAACTTACCTGGAATTTGTTAAGTTATGGTTTCTTCTATCCTTTTCTATACACTCATGAATATTCCGCATGTGTTCGCCTTAATTATATATTTAGCATTCAAGCAGCAGTATGGTCAAACAAGAATAGATGAAGGTTTTATGCATCATATCAACTACTCTGAACAATTACAATTGTCCGAATAACCTTGGATGGTTGGAGATGTCACGTGGATTATACGTTGTCATTACCTATTTAGCAGGTCATTAAGTTTCTACCAAACCATCAAATCTGTAAATATTCAAATATCATCTGGGAATTACTAAGAGGCGGCATATTTTCAAGTCTTTTGTACAATCTTTAGAAACGCTGAGACGTCTGCTGACCAATGTTGCAGATGGACTTTTTTTTCGTTTTATTTTCTTCTGGTAATTAACATCAATCAATCATCGAATTACTGAAATTAACTGATTATTGATAAAGCGACCTGTCGGAAATTTCGTCTTTTGTACGAACTCGTTTGTTTGTGGTATGCACAATGCATTCCGACTATCGGTCTATGAATAATCAGTTTGATAATTCTTTTTATCAAACAGCTTCGACATCAATGGATATCACATTGTCCAAGCATAGGCCAAGCTAAACACTTCAGTCCAAAACAAGATTGTACAAAAGGCAAACATGTTAATTGCATCTTTCAATACAAATATAGATTTAATTAAATCAAATTACTGAATTAGACTATGGCGAATTAATTAAACGAGCGAAAAAAAGTCTTGAAAGCGAAGTTAAGCTGAAACACACACAAAGTATTTCAAACTGTGGTTTTTAATTTTCTGGCGTCACAGAACTTTCAGCAGTACAATTTTATTTGACCTATTCGGTACCTAAAACCAACACAGATCCATCGACGTTACCGATCCAGATAAAGCTATTATTCTGTATAGATACAGATGTAGGTGAGACGTTGTATTGAAGTACAGTCCACAGCGGAATACATGTTTGTGTTAACAATTGAACAGATTTCGACCAATTCTCTGCTATCAGAATATCTCCAGTGGATATAAACTTCACATCATTTACACAGAATTTGTCTTCAGCGTTGGTGATGGCAACATCTCCGTAAAGTACTTGGTAATTTCCAAGGTATCGTAAAGTTAGTTCCAGCTGCTCATTAAGGAGGACCAAATGCGCCGATAGTTCAGAAGTTTTATTAGTGACTGCTATAACTGACCCAGACTTGTTCGTACTGATCCTTCGAGGAACGACGAAGATATTGCGCCCTTTGGTTGTTTTCTCAGCCCTATTCAATTCGTTTCCCTCCATGTCATAACGTATCACCACTCGTTGGCTGTGCGAATTGATGCTCATCGTATCATCGTCACATAAAGTCAAAAGAATGTAAGAGCCAGGCGTGATAGATATATGTAGAGGACATAACGGGCCTGTACTAAATAAGTACGTTTCTTTTCCACTAGGAATATGGACCTTTCGAACAGAACAATCAAGAAAACAAAGAAATATACTATCTCCATATAAGGACAATCCGTCAATACCTTGAGTAATTTCGAATTTCAGTAAAACATCGCCAAATCTATTTGTAAGCTTTAACACATTTTCATCAAAGCATCTAAGCCAGCAATGAGTTGTGCTGTAACTTTGAATTTCATGTACTCCGTTCAATTCTGAGTGTTTGAAAGAGTGTTTAATAGTCAATTGCTTGTTGAATATATCTTGGTAGGAAGATGTCAATTTGATGGGATGTTGAGATACACAGTAAGTACTCCGATCTCCAGTCCTACAGATATTTCCCATGTTCTACTTTCATTGCAATCGTAAAGGTGTCCTTGCCTTGTCAGGTTACCAGGGTCTGTGCGAAGAAAAATATTTCATAATAGTGAAAAATTTATATAAGCCAGGTATATGTATGTAACTTACCTGATCAGTTAATTGTATTTTTCTAAACACGTACTGGGTACAACGATTTATTTTCATCATCGTGATGGTGTAATCTAAGTTTATAAATAGCATAGAATAGGATCTAAACGAAACTTGCATCATGAAAAGACGGTATGTCCCCTCGATATTCAGGTATTTCTTTCCTACCAATAATTCCTGTAGAACATATGGATGGTTGTTGTCATACAAATACTACAGGATCCTTAATCCTTGATACCTAAACGGAACTTATATCATGTGATAACCATGTAATATATACATACCTGTGTAAACCATGGCTGCGATGTTTGACATGCATGGATTGGATGCACAGGTTTAGGCTGGTGTCACAAGTCAACGATGGAAAGAGAGTATTTATCAAGTGACATTGTCCCAGCGCTATTCACGAACCTCTTTCAGGCCTGTTATTCCGGTGGAACCCCCGGGTCCTTTGATCAGGCATGTCTATACAGTGATACCAAAATTAAACCTGTATCATGTGTGATAAGTATTCTCATATACTTGCATGTGTAAACCAAGACTAGGATGTCTCTCATACAATAACAATGCCATGGCAAAATTTCAATTTTTCAGATATTTGGCAGCA